GATCTACAAGACCTGCCTATTTATTACACTGCGCCAGGGCCTCTATGTTCTGTGCGTGTGTCCACCTAGAAGATGAAATCATAGTGCATTGCACCTTTTTCTTTTCACAGAAGAAAAAGGTCCAGTGAGATATGATTACAGAATTTTAAATATATGCCTTTTAATGAGAGTTGTTCAAGACATGGTCACCTTATATTTTTGTAAAACTACAAAAGAAACCCTATATGTTATGTAACAAGAGGTAACTTCTGTAAGAAAAAAACAATTGACTTTCAGTATCCAGATTACCATGACAAGAATGTGTGATATAGATATGCTCATTTGCTTATTTTATCAGACAGTGAGATCTAACATATCAAGTTTTGTCTTTTTAAATTGACTATGGGGATGCTTATCTACATTTAATTCTCAACTACTTAAAATACTTCTTGGGAGAAGTATTTTATAGCCTTCCAAATAATTCCTCAATATATTTAATCTTTATTTTGAGTGGCTCACTTCTCTGTTAGTGTATGCTACTTCAGTTTTAAAGGTAAAGATTTATATTATCAATAATGTTATGTTTTGCTTCTAATGCATGAATGGCAATATCTTCCAATCTCAGCCAAAACTTCTCTGAAGTATTTGCTGCAAATAATATTTCTTCTGATAGGACATACACACGCACATATAAATGCAGTTGAGAGAAAGGTTTTAGCTCAATTTGCTTATTGATATGTGTATAACTAAATTGCCATGTCAGATTTGTGTAACACATCACACTTATATCACAGGATAGTGCTAAATGTTATATTATGAAGCTGTCCCCAAAGGAATCAGTTGTGTTTAGCATAGAGCTCTTACTTTTCTATTTTTAAGTAGGTATGATTGCCTAATATTAAAAAATAATTTTATAACTGTAATCTCAGACTAAAATTCATTATCTCTAAATCTAATCTTATTAAACTATAAATAATATATCTAGCTTTTATGTTAAAACTTAGACAAACCACCCTGTCATTTCTATCCTGAACAGAACTTTAAGCTTCTATAAAATATAAATATTTATTATAAAATTTTCATTTGGCTTCCCCTTCTTCCAACAATGAACTAAATTAACATGAAACTTAGATTTTCAAGGTCTATAATAAAATCTCTTCCATTTTATTTTTCTCAGACTTTCCTGCCTGTATAATTTGACAATTTTCATAAAATGTTTTCATAAAAAATTTTATTCAAGACACTGTCGTTATTAGCCATTCAGAGAACTGGGATATGATTTGTGAGCCATGCTCACCCTTTGATTTTAAAGAACAGAGGCATAAAGACATGTTTTATTGTCCTTCAGGAATGGGAGTGAGCAGGCAAGCATTTGGATTTTGGTCAGCTCTCACTTACACTGTCTACACCCATGCAGTTCTGTGACCACCACCCAGCCACTGTGGGGCCTCAATTGCTGTGCTTGAGTGCAGAAAATGGCAGGTGTGACACAGAAATTACAACAAATTATTATAAATCTAATGGACCCTGTCAAAGATGACAGGTGTCTTGGAAAAATGCAAAATGAACATTTCATTTCTGGCCTAAAACTGGCAAGTAATCTAAATACCCCGATCCTCTCCGTTCATGTGTGCATTTTAATCATTCCAGCTGCAATATAGCAATGAACCCTGGGTTTTCCTCCCTCAAATATTAAAAGGCAGAGGATACACTCATATATATGGAAAATATTTATTTACTTATTCATCTGTTTCATTTTACCAGTAATTTATTCCTAAATACTTCCTACTAATGAAACCAAATCTTCTTTAATTTTCTTGTTTTACAAACTGAAATCTGTTTTTCCAATACAGAGCTAAAAGAACATAGCCTAGGATAATTTAAAACTAAGCATATTATAAAAATTAGAATTATGTCAAGAATCTAATGTCTCTACTTAATAAAACCATGCTGTACTGTTATTTCTACAAGGTATTGGTGAGAGTTCTTTAAAAGTAAGGTAAAAGGCTCACGATGTATTGTAGAGATTACAAAATCTAGATTCTTTTTTTCATGTTAGCATTATACAAGAGCTTATTTAGGTTGCTGTCTCCTGTCTATCTAGCATCTGTTGGCATATAACTTGAATTCTTAAAATACTATAATGTAGTAAAAATTCATGTGTAGAATTTTCTTGTTAATATGCAGATAGAATATCTTTAGATAATTTGTAAAAAGAGTTATGTTGGCTGAAGGTACTGTATAAACAATATCATATGATTGGACATTAACATAATGAAAAATAATGCGTTTTGAATTGTACTAGTCACTAAGAATTTGTAAGAGTGAGTAACAAATTGCAATCTATTAAGCACCTAGCACATAGTTTAATTTTGTCAGCAAATACACGAGAGGTTATAGCCCGGGTCTACAACCACCCAAACCACTCCTCATCATCCATTATTTTCTTGCTAAGTCATGTTTGTTGTAACAGTTTTCCTGCTGAGTGGATTGAATTGATACCTCTCTCAACCATGGCTTATAGAAACAATATACATTGGCATGCTTCGTGAAACAATCATTAGAGTGAACCAGCAACCAACAGAATAGAAAAAAATTTTTGCAATCTACCCATCTGACAAAGGGCTAGTATCCAGAACCTACAAAGAACTAAAAAAGATTTACAGGAAAAATTCAACCCCATTCAAAAGTGGACGAAGGGCATGAACAGGCACTTTTCAAAAGAAGACCTATATGAAGTCAACCAACATACGAAAAAATGCTCATCACCACTGGTCATTACAGAAATGCAAATCAAAAACACATTGAGATACCATCTCATTCCAGTTAGAATGACGATCATTAAAAATCTGAAGACAACAAATGCTGGAGAGGATATGGAGAAATAGGAACACTTTTACACTGTTGGTGGGAGTGTAAATTAGTTCAACCATTGTGAAAGACAGTGTGGCGATTCCTCAAGGCCCTAGAAATAGAAATTCCATTTGACCCAGCAATCCCATTACTAGGTATATATCCAAAGGATTATAAATTGTCCTGTTATAAAGACACATGCACACATATGTTCACTGTGTCACTGTTTACAATAGCAAAGACCTGGAACCAACCCAAGTGCCCATCAGTGAGAGACTGGATGAGGAAAATGTGGCACATATACACCATAGAATACTAGGCAGCCATAAAAAAACGATGAATTTGTGTCCTTTGTAGACACATGGATGAACCTGGAAACCGTCATTCTCAGCAAACTGACACAAGAACAAAGAATCAAACACCACATGTTCTCACTCATAGGTGGGTGTTGAACAACGAGAACACATGGACACAGGGAGGGGAGCATCTCACACTGGGGTCTGTTGTGGGGGAATAGGGGAGGGACAGCAGGGATAGGGAGGTTGAGGAGGGATAACACGGGGAGAAATGCCAGATTTAGGTGACAGGGCAATGGAGGCAGCAAACCACATTGCCATGTGTGTACCTATGCAACAATCCTGCATGTTCTGCACATGTACCCCAGAACTTAAAGTGCAATAAGATATAGATATATATGCATATAAACTCTATTTCATGTTTTGCATTTTTTTCTAACCTAAATGAACACAATGAACACTTAAATTTTTGGTCGACATGATGAAAGGATTTTGATGCAGTAGAAACAAAACAGACCTGATGTGAATTTTATTCTACCTCCCCTGATGTTGGACAGCTTCCTCTTCTGCACATGAGAGGTATTAATGTGCACCTGCCTTGGTCATAAATTCAGTTAAATAAAATACTCAAAGTCAAGCTTGAAATTATAGGTACTCAGGAAAGGCCAGTCATGATTTTCCTCCTAACTTTTAAAAATTGATAAAATCTGTCATGGGAAAAGAGAGGTCAGAGTAGTTAAAAAAAAAAAAAAAAAAAGGGAGACATCACAAAAATGAAAGAGATATACATGGAGAGCCCTTCATTCATTGGGTTTGCCCAGGGAGACAGGTGGGTAGTAAGAATACAGGAGCCCAAGATACCATTGCTTCCCCCTACCTCGGCCAGTGTTCCTGGCAGCTGCTGCAGCCCTCCGTAGCTTCAGCTCTCACGGGTTAGCCCTGCCAAGTCCTACCCCGCTGGACCGCTGTAACTGCCTCCTTCCCTTACTCCTCCAATCTTGCTTAGAATAGGAGGGCTCCTCCCCATCGTCACAAGATTGAAGACTTGTATCTTCCATCACCCATGCAATCCATCCCCTAGAAAAAATTCCCAATATTTAAATACTTGCAGTGATTTCTGTTTTTCTACTGGGACTAGAATGAATAGTTAATGGACGGTTAAATATTAAATCAGTATGTGTAAGATTAGGTGAAGGAAGTATCCCAAGACATGAAGCCAAGAACAGAGGGAGTGACAACATAAGATCAAAATATTAGAAAGAGTTTCAGTTTGAGAGTCTCAGCATTTGGCTGATAGATGCTCCCTAACAGAAGAATTGAGAAAACATCAGTAAATAATCAAAGTGAGTATATACCTTTGAAAATGCAGAACCCATGATCCCTGTGTTAAGTTCAAATATGCAGATTAAAGTGTTAATTAAATATTGAAAAGCACAAATATAAACAGACCCATATTAGCGATATACTAGTGAAAAGCATATAGAGATGGACTGGATCAAGGTGACATGCAAAGTTGAAAGAACCAGACTGAAAAGACACTCAACAGCCATGATGAATATAAAAGAAAAAGGAAACAAGTTTTCAAAATTGAAAAAAAAAGTTTTCTGCTCCTGAAACTACGATTGATTTCAGAAGGCAGAACAAAAATTTCAGTCAGATGAAGGCTACCAAATGGTGCAAACCACACATTGAACTAGAAAGAATTACTCACGGAATCATTACAAATAACTCAGTCAGAAAATCATTGAGGAGGATGCTGGGGAATGAAACACTGAAAATTATAATTAGGTCTAAAAATAGAGGGATGATTTAAAAAATCATTGGTTACAAATCTGAATGAAAATTCAACATATTTACAACAGGGGAAGTAACAAAAGACAAGTGAAAGGAAGATAAGTAATATTGTGCTAAAATTCTCAGCCTTTTAGTGGATTTGGGAGCAGTTCTACATGCTCCTTGATTTTAAATTTACTTTGGTAAAGTTTAATGTCTTTGTCAAGATTACATTTTAATTACTAGAAGAATAGAAAAAAGATTTGTATGTTTGAAGAGAATAAAACATCAGGAAAGCTGAAGGTGGTAGCAATTGAAAAAAAGGGGCCTCATCAGACCAACCACAACAGAGTAGGAAAATCATATAAAAAGAAGCTCCCAAATATCGATATCAGTATCTTTGAATCAGCAACATTTCTTTATTGATAAAATCACTAAAACTGAAATTTTAAAATTAGCATTAAAACTCTAAGTTAAGAAATAAAATGTGTGCTAGAAAAATGCCAATGATAACAAAGCAGAATATTAATATAGGTAAAATAAAATAAAATTGACTCTCTCAGGCTTTGATTGGGAAAAAGAGGGTTGTGTTAGATGCATTGTACTGAGCTAAACATTCTATTATAATGCTGCAGGAACTGAAATATTGGGGAGAAATAAAGACAAGTAAATTGTAAGGACTTACCATTTTTATAATCATAACACGCCTGACTCAGAAATTGTTCATCTCTGAGCATGGTTCAGGTTGTCTTAGTTGTACGTGGTTAGCTTAGTTTTTTGTTGCTATTAAATGTTCTAAACATAGTTATTTTTTGAACATAAGTGAATGTAAATCAAATTTATTTTTGAGTAAAAGCTCTTTAATAACCAGTTCCTGAGAGTGAAACATACTTACAGCATGTTTAATATGCAGAAACAAATCAGATATGAGATATTCTTATCAGTGAAAAGTCTCAGGTCAAGAGAGGTTAAGTAACTTGCCAAAAGTGGTAGATCAGAAACGTGGAAGCTGAGGACTGAATCTCAGCTGTTTGATTCCTGGCCTTAGTTTCAAAGACTAATTCCTTGAAAATGTGCATTATTGGCAAGAACTCATGGAACTGTAACATTTAAGGTCACACAGAGAACCTTAATAAAATTCAAAAACAGATTGGCACAGATCAAGTTCTCTGTTCATGAGGAAATCAAATGAAAAGTCACAAGATTTTATACTCATGCACACAAACACACTCATTGCCCCCACACACGCACACCTATCTTTCAGATAACCTGAGTTAAGAATGAAACAAATTAGAATCCATTTGCAGATACATGATAATGAGTGGATAGAATATTATTTCATACAAAACCTTGCCAATGTAGCTCTTAGAGCAAATTATATAGTCTGAAATGGAGAGAGAGTGAAAGAGAGAATATGAAAGTAAATTATCTAACAGTTTTTAAGAATCTATAAGCAGTGAATTAGTATAAAATCAAATAAAAATGCAAAATATATATAAATTAAATAAATTGTAAAAAGCAAAACAAAGGTAAAAGATCAAAGCTACTCTTCAAATTTTGAAATAAATGGATGAACTTTGGGTAAATCTGATAAGATATATAGAAAGAGCTAATAACATACAAAAAAAACTCTTCACTGTTAAAAATAGACATAATTTTTCAAATGTATAGGATACAGTGCATAGTCTTATATGAAGACATTTGGTAAGCTAGCTAAAATTCATTATTCTCTACAAAAATACAACTTGACAAAAATAAAAGATCTAGAGGTATCCATATGTAACAGATGTGGAAATCATTCCTGAAAATCTATACCTAAATAAATAAAAAGACAACAAATTTTACAACATTTAAACCAATATTTTGAGAAAAAGACATTTCCTTGTCCCCTTTGGTTAAATAGATTGTTTTCCGTTTGGGGGGAAAAAAGGGTGAGAACAGCTAAATGTTTCCTTTCCAGATATTAACATCTGCTAAAAAAAATTCGAATTTAAACAAGGTAACATTGGCTCTGAAAGCAAAACATAGATTAGGGAAACAAAATAAGTTGTCCAGAAGTAGACTTTTATGTAAACGTGAGTCTAAATTATGGTATGCGTGATAATTTGAACCAGTTAGGAAAAAAAGTTTCGCTTCTCCTAAAGAGTATTGGCAAATTAGCATATCTTATTCTGAAAAATGTAATTTATGTAAATACATCACACATTTACAAAACAATTCTCATCTAGGTTAAAGAGGAAACCATGAAATTATTCAAAGTGTCTGGGTAAATTAAAATGTGCATTTTTATAATACATTAACTGGGAAGCTTTTAAAGACAACATATAAACACTGAAGCCATAAAGAAAAATGTTTAACTACATCTTTGTCAATACAAACATTAAGAAATAAAAAATCTGTATTAATAAAAACATGGTAAACAAAGTTAAAAACAAATGACAGAAAAATACTAAAAAACATAAAACAATGAATTAGTGTACAGAACATATAAGGAGTTTCTAATTCAAGAAAAATATCAATTAGAAACCCTGGGAAAATATCAACTAGACAATTAAAAGAAGAAATCCATATACCAATACAACTTTTTTAGTGAGTTAATAAACCTGATGAAAATCACAGAAAAGCAAATTAAAACAACATAAAGGTACTATGTTTACACATCACAGTGGGAAAAACTAGAAAGAGAAGTAATGTCCAGTGAGGAGCCATGGAGGGGATAATCGACATAGTCCTCATTCTTGGAAGTCAGTTTGACATTAACCATGCAAATTACAAACACAGATGGAGTACTGCACTGTGCAAGCTTTTTCCTTGAAAATCTTTCACAATATGCTCCTATTAATGCACCAGGTGGCATATAAAATATATCCACTTCATTAATACTTTATAAAGCCAAAGGGAAAACAGTCTAATGCCTCTTAGTAAGGATACTGTTAAATAAATTAAGGCGTATTTACACTATGGAGTAGCATACAGCAGTTCCCACCTATAAGGTAGATTTGTATACTATTGTTAGATGATACAAGAACAAAAATAAGATGCAAATCAGAAAGTAAAAGTGTTAATAGCAATATATCAGTCACTGTACAAAAAAATCTATGTAAATGCATAGAAAACAAGTCGAAGAAAACACTAAAAAGTGTTCACTTCTAAAGAAAGACTACTTTTACTTTCTTCTGTATATATTTCTATAATGATTTTTAAAAACATAATTAGGCAATACCGAACACTAGTACAAGCATTACTACCCTTATTAGTCCTGGTGTCCTCATAAATATTTACTGTTTTCAGTTAGTAAAACATGATGAAAAGATATGGATCCGGTTTTTTTTTATAATCTCTATTTGCTGTAGAGGCCCACAGGGCTTTAAACCCAGGATTCTCGGCCCTTCTCACTGTTGTTCACACCATTTTTCTTGCTGTGGGAATGGCTTCATCGCCAAAGTATCAGCCATCAGGTTTTGTGATTGATTTATTTTTAAACTAAAGGGACACCTGCCTACACAGGTGGTATTATCATTTTAGAAGAGCAATATTTCATTGACAATGCATTTTAATGCCTGAAAGAATCTTGGAAAATTGTTTTAATTATGTCTAAATGAAACTACTTGGTTCGAATTGCAGGTGAGAGATGAAAAAATTTTTACATCTGTGACAGAAAGAAAATAGCAGGTTCTATTTCTTCCTACCTCCTGCACCTTCTACTGACTCAGAGAATGTTTATTTCTACATATGGTGGTGTTAGTGGTGCTCTCATCACAGTGTTTAAAAGCTATTTTCGTCTTACCTCTTTTGGAATTTATGTCTCTAAAGGCCATCTTCTTTTTTCTTTCATTGTTGTTAACATAACATCTGTTTATTTACCTAAATAGAATCTAAAACAGTGAATGTCAACTTTTACAATCAATGGATAATACAAGGTGTATAGTCTACACAAATAACGTAAATGCATTTAATTAAGTTAGACTACATGGGTTGCTAAATAATTCCTCAACTGAAATAACTAGGGAGTTTTAGGAAATAATTAATTGGGTATTTTATTTGAAATCTCATTAAAGTGGCTTGTATGAATTGATATAAGCCCTTAGGAAAAATATATAGTGTTTTAAATTGCAAGAAATTTGGATTCAGCATCTTTCAGCAAAACATCCGATTATGGTCTTAAGACGTTTCCTAAAAGAGACGAAAAATAAATTGCAAGATGCTAGGAATTTCAAGCCAAGCTGCCTACAAAAAATATTTTTAGTATAATGCACTATTGTCTAATTATTTTAATTACAGACCCTTTAAATTGAGAAAAACATTGTAAAGTTAAATTATGTTCACACACAATATTATCTATTAGAGGACTGAAATCTCAATGTACCCACCTGATCAAATGTCAAGTTATTCCAGGAATAAAATGCTCTCTACCAAACACATTTACTTCAATATACTTCAGTCTTTCAAGTAAGGTTACATTGTTAGCTTAGTGTGTTAGCTTGTGAGAGTATTCTTGTGTTACCTAAGGATGTAGAGATAGGTACAATGATTTGGACATAGAGTGTTACCTCTTCATAGTGAGATGTAACTGTCACAGGTTTCACTTCCAGATGCATTTTCAGAAATCTCACTGACTCAAGAGGCAGAGTTCATAAGATGGCCTCAGCCTCTGCTCTCCGGAAGGCTTTGCTAGTTCCAAAGCTGGAAAATGGCTCATTATTCTATTAACTATTAATTTGGCTGTATAATGCATGGAGCCGTTTCCACATAACTATTTATATGGAGAGGTCTTGATTGAAAGCATGTGTTCTTACTATGAAATCAGACAACACCGACACCTGCTCTTTGATTCTGTGCCTTTGCCATTCCACAGGTGCACTGCTCCCTTTTGTGAGCTCTGGGGGTTTGGCTGAAATCATGTTTCTTCTAACTCAATGTGATCTGTGACTAAGGCATCTTGATATTGACAAAAGCGTTCTTAACCAGAGCATATTAGGATGGTGCAAAAGTAACTTTGCTTTTTGCTATGACTTTCAATCGCAAACACCGCCATTACTTTTGCACCCACCTAATAACATGCAAAACAAAACCAAAGTGCGGGAAGTTGTCAGAGCCTCGCTCTCACTAGTGCTGCCCAGGATACCCATGGCTGTGAGGACCCAAGTGCCATCTCTCCTGTGTGTGTCCTCCTACTGCAATT